GTTCAAAATAAGGTTTTAATTCAAATAAGATAACAGCTTAAAATGTAAACCAATTACAATGTCAACTTTAGATCCTTTTAGTGAGGAAGCCCCCTCCATTAGCGCTTTCTCAATTTTTTTCATTAATTTGCTAAAATTTTTTAGGCCAGATTTAATACTTTCTTAATTGAAGCTTTTCTTTAATAGAATTTATTGACTTGCAAGTTGCAATCCAAAAAATTTGTTAACCCATGATTACTAGTAAATAAATACTGTAATAGAAAATATTATTTTTATCTTATATATATTTAAAGGAGACTACAGTATTGAACGGCTAACTCCAGCTCAATGGCATTTGGATTCTCAATTAGGATTGTTTTACTCCCATGGAATCTCTTTTTTCCTTCTCTCAATTAACCGGTAAATAATTACAAGTTGTAAAAAAAAAAAAAAAAGAGAGACTACAGTGTCGTGTTGTGCAGTTCGTCAAAGGTACTGCTACGTCTTAACTGACGAACCGTTGTTCAGTTAACAAAACCCCAAACAGTACACGCGCCGCCGCGCCGGTTTTCTGAACGCTATTACAATCCCTGTCCTGCCTCTTTGTTTTCTTCCTCTCCCTCAACGGATTCCCCAAAGCCCTCTCCTTTTCCTCTTTAAAACCTCATTTCCTCCCCTTTCCTTCCATTTCCTTCCTTCCAATCAAACCATTCTCCCTTCCCTTCCCCTCCCCATCTCCAGCAAATGTCGTCCTCCCTTTCCACACCCTTCTCAGCTTCCTTCTCCACTGCGGCTATAGCCGCTGGCAATTCCACTCAGCACAGTATCCGTTCACTCTCCAACCTCTCCTTCCGGCTCTCCCCTAATCCACGAATTCCATGCTTCAGCAAGGTACTAAAATTATAGTTTTTTTTTTTCCCCGAATCTAGCTTGGAAGAATCAGTTTAAATTGTTTTTTGATCTCCCTACTGGATGAATGACGAATATATAGGTATTTCTTGATTATCTGCTAATGTAAAAGGAAATTTAGATACTAAGAGCTTATTTTTTTTTTTTTGGTTTCCCGCCGGTATCCGAGGCTTCGTCTCGACTAATTTGTACTCGACCCGCGTCGCGCACCTGAAAATGGTGGGTGAGTCTATCAGCGGGGCTGCTGCATACACAAGTACTCGAATTCAAGACCTTGCTTAAGCTGGAACAAGCCACTTACCACTTGATCCAACCCCTCATTGATACTAAGAGCTTGTTTAGGTAGAGAGCAACCTCACTTGGGAAGGGTAGGAAAAGCGCTATATTTGGGAAAATTGATAAGTATAAAAATTTCCTTCCAAAAAATTATGTTGATAAAAAAAAAGTTTACTAATTGAAATTGTGTCATAAAAAGTAAAGAGTAAAAATATTAGTTTTATCCTCCTTTTATTGTACGGTAGTATTAGGTTGTGAAAATACAAAGTTAAGGGGAAAGTTTTCACAACCAAAAACGCCCCTTAAGGCTTAACTATTTCTATGTAATTTGTAATTTTAGCGGCTTGAGCAAGGAATAAACATTGCGGCTAACCAAATAACCTCTGAGAGTCTATTATGAAAATTTCATGTGCTTCCCTTGCAGTTTCTTTAAAGATTCTTTTCACCATATGTGATCCTGAAATTTTAGCTGGTTGTAGGGGTTGAATCATAGTCAGAACAGCTCTGCTGTGATGAAAGCCCAGTTGAATGAGGTATGCTTCATTCAGCGGTTTTCCTTAGAGGATCTGTTTTCAAATTTTTGTACCTTCCTGGACAATTTCTTTGGATCATCTGTTGCCTCAAAGGTTGCTGTTGACAATGGTTCATCAAATGCTGCACCTGCACCTCCAGCCAAATCAGGAGAACCAGCAGCTGAAGCAAAGGATTCTATGACATCTAGTGATACACCTCCAGCTTTGGCCACAGAGGAGTCAATCTCCGAGTTCTTGACTCAAGTTTCAAGCCTAGTCAAGTCAGTTACCTCAGCATTTTAGTACTTTTTACCTTTTTCCAGTTTACCTAAGCATCATGGATGAGAATGTTATTTTATCCATGTTGTAGATTAGTTGATTCGAGAGATATTGTGGAATTGCAATTAAAACAACTTGACTGTGAGCTAATAATACGGAAAAAGGAGGCCTTGCCTCAGCTTCCATGTTCTGCTCCAGATGTTGTGATGCATTCATCCTCTACACTGCCAGCAATGCCACCCACTCAGACTGCACCAGCTCCTGCACCTTCTGTGTCAGCTCCTTCATCCCCACCTCCACGATCTACTACGTCTGTTGCTCCCAAATCAGCAAAATCATTGCTTCCTCCTCTTAAGTGTCCCATGGCTGGCACATTTTATAGAAGTCCTGCACCTGGTGAACCACCTTTTGTAAAGGTGAAACATCTTAATGCTGTGGTTTGATTGGAATCTAATGATCCAACTTTTGGTTTATGCTGTCATGCAGCTGTTGGTTTTCTTTTGACTTACAAAAGAGGCTTTCTCTGCAGGTTGGAGATAAAGTACAGAAGAGACAGATCCTGTGCATCATTGAGGCAATGAAATTGATGAATGAAATAGAAGTAAGTACATTTTTTTTCTGCCTTTTATGTGTATAATCATCATCATCTTAGTTGACATCTTCAGCCTAGCTAACAATTTGTTTCCCATAAATAGATGTATATATATTTGTCAATTTTGAACCTCTATCCTTACGATATGGAAAAATGTTGATTAACATGGGATTAACATTAGGGCTATAATGTTCCTAGAAGAAAAAGGGTTTTAGATAGAATCATGAAGCATATGAAACAAGTACCTAGCATTACATCTCCAAACACCATTTCCCAGTATCAGGTGATCCTATGTATTAAACAGTTTTGGCTTCAAAATTCAAATTCTTTACATTTTTCAAAAATATTTTAATTTGATGTGGTATACATGATGCATTGCTGTATTACATCAAGTCTCTGTGTCCCACAGTGCTTCATATGTTAACCTATTTAATTTGTAAAACTAATGGTTCCACTTTCATATCTGAATTAATCTAACATTCCAAACAAATCAACAGTCCCATACACTTAATACAGAAAAATTTTCTTTTCCATTTTTTCATGTTCTTCCTTGCAACCAAACGTGCTCAACTCTGTATCATTTTCTTCTGATTTCTCATTTCCAAAATAACAGCAGTTTAACACCAAGCTTCAACAACAGGGTGGTGCGCTCTTTCTTTCCTTAAAATAAGAAAAAACTTTCCCTCACTTTTCCAAACTTTCCCTCTCTCCGAACATATGTTTGTAACTTTATGAAGGCATGTCTGATTAAGCATGGTTTATCTTTAAAACCTTGAAAAATCAAATCACATGAACTGATGAACCAAGCCTGGTTAAGGGTAGCTAATAAATTAAAACTTTTAAAACCTTGATAGAATATTAATCAAAATTGAATCATGAAAGAACACTTTTAAGAATCTGATCATTTGCAGGAGGGATGCAACTGGATGAAAAATATCATTTGATGAGTGTCAGAAATGGATTGGAAAATTTTGAGGTAGCCATGTTGTACGTCAGTTCGATTGGTTGAAGAGAGATGATGTTTAAGCAATTGATGAAAGTAATGTGTTTAACCAGGCAGAATGGAGGGAAAAGATGCATGAAGTTTCAACCAAGTTGGTTTGTGGTTGGTTTTGGTACTTGATTAAACTTAGTGCTTTTGAAATGTGAGGAGCTTTGGCTTATAACCCTTAATCTGCTATCTAGTTTGAGCAGTAGGTAGTTGGTTGGCTAAACTATTTGCTCTTGGTTACCCATTATTCTCCCCTTCTTCCATGCAGAAAATAAGTAAATAAATAAAAGGGTTTATATGTATATAAAACAATGTAAAAGCTGACATTAATTTTAGTGTTCGTGCCAAGTGGATGAATTTAATTAGATAGTTAATAAATTAAAGGTCAACCTTGGTTTTTTCAATATAAATTTATGATGAAAAGGTATATTTATTACACCCTTAACCTATGCCATTAGAAAAACCCTAAATAAAATTCTCAAATTTGTTTGTGAAGCATATGTTCTTAGTGGGAGATTATACTGTTAATCCATTACAGTACCGGAATACCAGTTTGATATTCTCCTACAGCTCCACTTAGGGTGCTAATTCTGCATCCATGATTGTAACTGAAAATTAAGATTTGATATTCAAATAAATGATGTTCCAAATTTTATTCATCAAGGTGTTGGTTTCAGTCATTAAGTAATAAACTGTAACTTCTGGCTTAATTCAACTTTGATGAAAAATGCTACAGATTCGGCCTAGACATTTGAAGCCTAGGCCAATAAAGAAATAAGGGCCCTGATTTTCCTTTTATTAATTAAGCACACACAATAACCAAACTGAAAGCTTCATGTTGATTTGTGTGGCAATATGTGAGTGCAGAAGTGGATACATTCCGTATGCACCTACTGTTTCGGAAATTATCTTTTGGGTAATTGACATAAATTTATTCTGTCATTTCTCTAGGCTGATAGATCAGGTACCATAGTGGAGATACCCGTAGAAGACTGCAGGCCAGTGAGCGTTGAACAGCCACTGCTTGTAATTGAACCCTGAAGCTAAACCGTTGAGCAGGCAAACCAATGGATCCTGTAGAAGAGCAATAGGGAGTTTCAGTTGGTAAGTTAGAGGTAAAGTTGTGTGGCATTGTATTATTGTGTTAGCTTATTTTGCTTAAGTTTGTCAGTAGAGATAGTAAGTGACTGAATTAGAGTCATTTATTTGCAGTTTGGGACTTTATCTGCAATTTAGGGTACAGAACAAATTTTCTTATAATTGGATTCCTGAATAAATTGTTTGAGTGTTTAGTTGCCAGGATGAAATTTGTCTGCTTTTTGTGGGCACACAGAAGGGCCAATGAAAACACCACTTTTGTTAGATTCTCTCTCTACACACCGAAAAAGAATTTTATGGAAATCTAAGAATATTAAAGCTTAAATGAGTAATCATTTGGTTCCAAAAATATGAGTTATTTTCTTATTTTTGATAGAAGGTAACAAACACTTAATTGAAACCTTAACATGAACTTGAGCTGTGAAGTCTTCTAAAGTAAACCATTGTGTTAAATGAAAATTGGGTCTTATCTCAGGTATTTATGAAGTTTCCCTTAATAATTACTATTCGTCTTTGATTAATTTTAAGATAATGAGAGTAATATGTGATTCTTTTATAATTTTCATTGCATATAATTAGAAACAGAGATTCAATGTATGATCAATGTATGAATATGGTTAGTTTCTTTGTTTTTTTTTTTTGGCCACACATGTATGGTTAGTTGACTTGGATGAACTTAGATGAACTTAGATGAACCTTTGAATATTTTTTTTCATCACTGATTGTCATGATTTCATAACAAGAGTGGTTAGTTTATGTTATTTTGTAAAAGAAATAACTGATAGGCATATAAGTGTTACTCTATGGCATCTAACCATCTTCAGAATTGAATACTCGAGAAAAATACTGGGAAGTAGGACATTTTCTTTATTTAATAATCTTCTTGGATTTCGATTAACGAATCTTAGGTTTCATGTAGTTAATTGGAGAACTGGTTGTTCCTTTGATTGAATTTGTTACCTTAATCTTTATAGACTGATTTACTCATCTTTTATTTAATATTTCTTGGTAGTTTATGATTTTTGTATGTAAAATATTGCTATGTGTAATCTGGTGCGCTCTTTTTTCTTTTTTTCTTTTTTTGGTATTTCAAATATTTATGCTAACAATTTTTTTTTCTCTTTCCTAATTATGTTTGAATTTAAAATTTGAAATTTTGACACAAATCTTTTATTCTTTGTTCTTTTGATCATTGTTGGGAGGGGGGAGGGATTTGAAACCACCGCATAAGAGTGGGGAGGATACTCCTTTGCCATTGGGCCACAACGCCAGATGCAGAATTCTGACACAGTATTTAAATATAAGGGATACCAGTAATCTAAGTCATGATTTTTTCTCAATTTGATAGTGATTAGATTTCCTTGTCCTGTTAATTTCAGAATCAATTTAAACCACTTGGTGATGAATTATCAGCAAGATATGGAGGCAGGGGAATTAATCAAGTATCAAGATAGTTAGCTCATGCAATCTGTGAGCTCTACTTATCAGCACAGAGCCGTTTTGGAAGCTTGTTTGTTAGGCCTGAGGCTTTAAGTTGTTTGCTTGCTTGCTTGGTTTTTCGTACAGACTGTTCTAGTTGATTATTCTTAGTTGAAGGGAAAATATAGAAGTTTTTGTAAAAGCCAAGAGGAACAGCATAAAAGTAATGTTGAGTATATATTTTATAGAGATGAGGTTAAGGGGAGGATTGTGGGTAAATATGTTTTTCTAGGATTAGCTGTTCCTTTTCGTTGGCAGATCACTATACGCATGTTTTATTGCCAATTGTTTTCCTGTAATAGGAGATTGTTCCTTCTGGTTTTGTGTCATCAACCAGTCATCAGAACTTTTATTCTCTATGATAAAACATATTTTCCAGTGGAATATTGGATTTCTCCTACACTTGTTGCCCACCCAAATTCTTTTTCTTTATTGAAGTACCTCTTGTTTGTAGCTAGGAAATTGTCTTGTGACTCTATGATGTGCTGGGAAAGGGATTTATTCTGGTTGATGTGAGTGCAATAACTGTTATTAATCATAAAATGAAAAATTATTGCTTAAGAGATAGCCTAGTGGTATCACTATCTATTGAACTGTTATTAAGTCACGCAATGAATTTGAATTTTTGCTTTGTCTATGAAACCCAGAAGTTACAATTATTGCAATTCTTATTCTAGCACGAGTTTGAGCCTTTGTTGGGAGAATGGTTAAGGGGTTTCGAGTGTTATACACAATTTCTGAGTTTCAAACAAGAAAAGGCCATTT